CTATCTTCTCGTTGGGTGCCCCTGAAAGATGTTTTATTATGCAAGAAAATGGCTCCCTTTGCCATGAACGCATCAAATATTGAACGATTTGCTGCCTTAACAACACAAAGGTAGAAAGACCTCTTTGAAGTAAACAAGAACTTAACCGAACAATGGTTTTGCCATCTACGGCGATTGGAAAAAAAGCAAGATAAACGAGTGTTGTTTGCACGCGACGGTATGCTGTACAAAGAATTTTACAAGGTCCAGAAACGGACCCGATTTTGCAGGGGCAAAGAAATTTACACAACACAGTATTTCATCGCAATTATTTTATTCACCTCAAAGAGTATATCATTGTACACAAGAAATAATAATAATGACTAAAGAAATGGCTAATGGTTACATCATCACGTAATGTGTAGTCTACCAAATTGTCTCTGTAAGTTAGGTCTTGTTCGTAGGTAGGTCCTTTTTCAGATGATACAAATAACACCTTTTGGTTGTAATCTTCGCTTGAACAAATCGTTCATTGCCAATAAGGCATCAGGATAATCGTAGATATTACGTACACCAATAATGACAGTTCTGCTGATCAACGTGGGGTTCATAATCTGTTCCTCCGTCATTTCCTCACACCATACTTTTTGAAATGCAATCCGTTGTAGCTGTAGTTTGTTGGAAAACGGACCACCATAAGAGAATTATTTCTCAGCCATACTTGTCTTTGGACAAACACGCCGCGGGTTGATTATGCAAAAATCTTCAACTAAAGACCAGGTATTGTGTAAAAAAAATGCAATTAAGAACTAGCCGTTTAGCTTTTGTCTTTTTTTAAAAATGAGCGATTAAGACATTGAGTTCTCACTTCGAAAAAAGTCAAGGAATGTTGTTTCACAATCATCTAGAACATGTTGTATTTCTTTGCAAAATTGTAATTCTCTGTCTATCGACAAACCTATGAAATACCTGTGGCAAAAACAACAAGACGATTCAGAAGAAGAGGGCTCTTTTAACCCTGATTGGATAGTGAACAATCTATTATGTGTTCAACAGACAAACGCGCTCTCCGTTCAATCATGATTTCATTCTTTAAAGTTCAGTTTGCTCGGAAAAAAGTCTTAACTCTCAACAATATTCTTTGGAACATTGTCCAGCGTCAAAGGATAGCCAGTTTTATTGGACATGTATTCTAACTGACTTATGCGGCCTTGGTTGACAAACTCATCCAACAAGAAAAGCTCAATCACTGCGACGGTTGTGCTATTCAACACCCAAGTCAAAACCAACATTCTTGCCTCATGATGGATAATGATGACGCATGGAAGTATTACCACGATGAAGTGGTGGAAAAAATTGACCTGAATTCTATGTTGAACGCTACCGAAAGTATATGCAGTGCTCTCGGCTTCAAACTAGATAAATCATGGGAAGAGTACTGCCAAATATTGTCGTGGACCAGTATTTACCTTGCTTCTCTGGAACTTGATGTTGTCCAGCAGGGTGATGATCTTCAAAGCCGTATTTTATACGCTCTATACTACCGACCAAATGGGCTCAAATGGAAAGATTTCAGTGATCAACAAGAAACAATAGAATGCCTTGATAGAGTCGTGAGAAAAGAAGAACACCAATGGACCTTGACATGATAATTAATGACATTCAAAATAAGCTTTGTTTCTAAAAGTAATGAAATTTCTTCATGATGACTAAAATTTTGAGTCGGTGTGTGTTTGTCTCTGTCTTTGTCAAGATGGGGCTTTCTCTGTCTTTGCTTCGGGTCGACTTTTCTCTGTATCGCATTATATATAAAGAGTTTTCCTTTAGGTGTAAAAAAATGTCATTTGTTCATAGTTTGTAAATAAATATGGTTTAATATACTAAACACGGTTTGTTGTCTGTCTAGCCGCGCGCGCGTGTGTGCGCCACGCGCGATTCAATCACCCGCGTAAAAGAAAAACACAGTGATATACAAGTCCCTTGTGGCCCCTGTGGCCCGTTCTCAATAGTCATAAACTTCGTGTCAACCAATGGACCTTGACATGATAATTAATGACATTCAAAAAAAGCTTTGTTTCTAAAAGTAATAAAATTTCTTCATGACTAAATTGTGAGTCAGTGTGTGTTTGTCTCTGTCTTAGTCAAGATGGGGCTTTCTCTGTCTTTGCTTCGGATCGACTTTTTACTGTATCGCGCACAAGCCAAAACATTGAAAGTGTCTTCAAGTGAAATGGACATGCTTCAACAAAAATTTAAAGATCTGCCGGGTTCGAGTCTAGAAAGGTTGAAAAAACTCCACTCTGAGGTCTTTTCAAAAGTAAACTGGGGACGATTGGTGGTATTTTTGAACTTCGCGGATCAGCTAGAATTAACCGAGGAGGAATGGGAACTACTATTTCACCTTCTTGTTCCCACTCTCACTCAGATTCGACAGTAGCTATATAAAGGAGCACCAGAGAGAGAGAAGTCATTACATCTTTTACCGTTCAGGTAAACACTAGTGATGGGTTGCTTTCGGCCATCATCCACTTTTGGTTTTGAACACATTTTCAGTCGCATACGTTGTGTATTAGCTTGCTGCGGTGGTAAAGTGGTTGTACAAAACTCGGAATTTTGTGATGGAGAAAAAACTAGCCAGCATCTACCTCGACCTAAGTCAACCCGCAAGTTTTGGTGGTTTAGATGCTGTTTACAGAGCAGTCAAAGAGAAAGGAAAGAACAAGATATCGCGTAAACAAGTCCGAGATTGGTTGAGTCAGCAAGATGTTTATACTCTTCTCAAACCCGCGCGAAGACGCTACAAGAGAAGCCGAGTCATCGTTTTTGGAATAGATGAGCAATTTCAAGCGGATTTGGTCGACCTCCAAAATCTCAGTCGCTACAACAAGGGCTATAAATACTTACTGACTTGTATAGATATCTTCAGCAAGTACGCGTTTGTGTTACCGTTGAAGACAAAACAAGGTCAGGAACTGGTCAAAGCCTTTCAAAAGATCCTTTCTACTGGTCGCAAACCCATCAAATTGCAAACAGATCAAGGAACAGAGTTCAAGAATCTCGTGTTCCAGAAATTTCTGCGTGACAACAACATTGCCTTTTTCACTGTTAACTCTGGGCTCAAAGCCTTAGTGGTTGAGCGTTTTAACCGAAACATTTAAGATTAAGATGTACAAATATTTCACGGCCAAAAACACTCTCACCTATATCAATGTATTACCCCAGTTAGTGTCTTCTTACAATAACACTTACCACCGAAGTATTAAAATGAAACCGAGTCAGGTGACTAAAGCGAATGAAGCTCAAGTATGGGATACTTTGTATGGGGATGATGTTCAAAAGCCTGTGCGATATAAATTTCAAGTGGGAGATCGCGTCAGGATTAGCAAAGTGAAGAGAATGTTTGAAAAATCTTACTTACCTAATTTTACGGAAGAAATTTTTACTGTTTACAAGCGAATGGCTCGTCAAGTACCCGTTTATAAACTAAAAGATGATGCAGGTGAAATCTTAGATGGAACATTTTATGAACCCGAATTACAGAAAATTATTAAGAACGATGATGTGTACCGCGTCGAGAAGATTTTGCGGAAGAGAAAGCGTAAAGGCGTAGTAGAGTATCTGGTGAGATGGAAAGGATACAAAGATCCAAAATTTGATTCTTGGGTTCAAGAAAGAGATATTTTGAAATTGTAATTTATGCATTTTTTGTGTAGTGAATAAAAGAAAATGAAATAATAAAATGAATGGTGTGTGGTTTCTAATAAATTAAGAATACCCAGATTAAAAAGTTCATTTCAACACAGGGTACGATGGAGGTAAAACAGTTTTATCTGCATCTCCCTAGCAATAGCAGCCTCGATAAGTTTCCCAGCAACACATTAACTGAGTACCAAGTTGGTTTACCTGAGACCGTTAGCTTGACGGGGGACTGGGAAGTAGCGTTAACGGAAATTCACTATCCTCACAGCTGGAATAATGTCCAAGAAAATTTTGGTAATCGATTCTACCTTCGGAACCAAGAATTGTCCGGAGTATGGGAAGCCCTAATTGTACCACCAGGTCATTATTCTTCCATTGGAGATATCTTATCAAAGATGAAAGAGCTGATCGAGAATGTAAAGCGTTTCAATGACGACGTGACATTTTCCTACGATGCGTTCACTAGAAAGGTGACTGTTCACCTACAAAATAACGTAGAACTTTTCTTTGGTAACATTGGATACCTGCTGGGATTTTCACCAGACGAAATTATTTCTAATACCTCTACCGCTGAAAGACAAGTGGATTTGGAATACGGCTTTCACGACCTTTTCATTTGCTGTGATCTTATTCAGTCACAATATGTTGGAGATGCATTGGTACCTTTGCTTCGAATCGTTCCTGTAGAAGGAAAGGTTGGGGAGCGAGTGAGTAAATCATTTTTCCGCCCCAATATTTACCTGTCAGCAGAAAGCAATTTGAAACTGTCGAAGTCAATATAAAGACAGACACAGGGGAGTCTGTATTGAGTTTGGGAGAGTGTTGTTAACACTTCATTTTCGTCAAAGTGCACCTCAGTACTTTTAAAGATGAAAAAACTCCACACTCCAAATCACAAGTTGTACGAACAGTACTATGTTAATCAAGCCAAACAAAAAGATGGGAGTTTACCAGCGTTTCACGGTGCTCGATTTCAGCATGGTTATGGACTAGGGTCCATATTCAGAGGTCTGTTTCGCTGGGCGATGCCTCACCTTCAACAGGGTGCTAAGGTGATTGGAAAAAAGGCTTTACAAACAGGTGTCAATGTCGTCCAAGATGTTCTTGATGGAGATAACATTAAAACAGTAGTCCACAAGCGCACGAAACAAGCCCTCGGTCTACCTTCTCAGAATTCATTGCAGACACAATCAGGAGCTGGCAAAAAAAGCTATAAAAAGAAAAGGGCAAGGAACCAAAATCAGTTCGCCTCAAGGCAAGAAAGCAAAAACATCTCCGCAGCAAAAGAAGCCCAAAGAGAAATTTTCTTTCTGGAAGTAACTATGGCCTTTGTGCATCACGAGTCTCAGGAATGTACGAAATCAGAGTTGGATCTCTTTACGATTCCTGCAACACAAACCTCTATCTCCAAAGGGCAATGGATCGAGTACCACCCCATCAGTAACATCACGGACAGTGGTCCGATCGAATTTTATGTTTCGGGAACCGGAGATGAGTATTTGGACTTGGCACGCACTCAGTTATTTGTTAAAGCCAAGATCACAAAAGCAAATGGAACCGCCATAGACGCCGATACACAAGTAGGTCCCGTGAACCTGTTTTTACATTCCCTGTTTTCCCAAGTGGACGTTTCCTTGAACGAGCGATTGATCTCTCCATCCACCAATACCTACCCTTATCGCGCCATGATCGAAACCTTGCTAAACTACGGAGAAGAAGCAAAAACAAGTCAACTTTCTATGGCCATGTTTTACAAAGATACCCCTGGAAAAATGGATGTTGCCAACCCTGTGGCTGCAGACGATGCTGCAAACAAGGGGTTAAAGGTTCGCTATGATTTCACTAAAGAAAGTCATATTGTGGATATGATGGGGCCCATTCATAGCGACATTTTCTTTCAAGACCGGTTGATGCTAAATGGAGTGAATTTAAGAATCAAACTGAACCGAGCCAAGAACTCGTTTTGTCTAATGTCATCAGCAGCCGCTCCAACTTTCAAGGTGGTAATCACAGAAGCCATCTTGTTCGTTCGCCGGGTGAAATTGGCCTCCTCTATTATACTTGGCCATGCGGCTGCACTAAAACACTCCAGCACCAAGTACCCGGTTCGCCGAATCGATTGTAAAGTGCTGTCTATTCCAAGAGGATTTAGCAGTTTTAACCCCGACAACATCTTTTTGGGTCACATTCCTAAACTAATCGTGCTGGTCTTAGTGGATACTCAGGCATATAATGGAACTTACAGTACCAACCCGTTCAACTTCAAACATCACAATCTAACTCAAGTGGGTGTCTATGTAGACGGAGAGCAAATTCCTCGGAAACCCCTGTTCTTGAATTTTGACGAAGCTAGAGGTCAAAATGTAATAGCGGGCTATCAAAGCCTGTTCTCAGGCACTGGAAAGCTATCCCAAGATGCGGGTAATCAAATCACTAGAAGCGATTATGGCTCTGGTTACACAGCATTCTGCTTTGACTTGTCCCCAGACCACTGCTCAGGTGACCATTTTGAGCTAATAAAGCAAGGTAACCTGCGCGCTGGAGCTTCATTTCAAGGAACCACTGGCCAATACGGTTAACCTTATCGTGTACGCTGAATTCCAAAACGTGATTGCAATTGAGGGGAACCGCAACGTGTTGTTCGACTACACAAACTAAAAATGGACACTATTCAACTGACCCTTATTTTGAGAAAGGATAAATTTACACGAGGTTTGTTTCAAGGCGTGTATCCCTCAGACCAGCTGCCTGCAAGTGTTTCACATTACCTAGCCCTGTTTATCGCCAATGTGGATACGAGTGACAAGCCAGGTTCGCATTGGGTGGCGTTTTATTTCACCAAGGAGCAAGAGGGAGAATTTTTCGATTCTTACGGATCACCACCCAGCAAATATTCAGGAACATTTACTGCCTTTTTAAACAACAATTCTAACCAGTGGACTTTTAATACTGTGAAATTACGAAGCATCTATTCAAAAGTCTGCGGACATTACTGTTTGTATTTTGCTTCATATCGTAGTCGGCATATAAGTATGAGTGCTATTGTCCATCGTTTTTCTAAAAACACAAGTAAAAATGATAGTCTCGTAAAACGATTTATTGAAAAACATTTTCCTATAGGTTTTCCGAAATATCGTACTGATGTAAACAAGCAAAGAGCAAAAGCACGACACTAAGTTCAGTAAACAGACACCATGTAATTTCTTTTCAACAAATTTTATTGAATTACAAAATAAAGTTTTGTGTTTCACAATAAAAAAAGTCTCTTGTCATGATTTATAATCGTAACCATCGAACAGCCTGAGGGCGAGGACTCTCGACTCTGCGCCTCTGCTTTTTGACAGAAGATAACGTCACAGGTGGGGTGGGTAGCCAACGCGAAGGACTTTCTGGGGTCTCCTCTCTCACCCTTGCTTTAAACTCTCTTATGGCACTCTGACGTTGGGGATTACGAACCAAGTTTTCGGGGACATTCATTCGCGCCAGGCCCCTCGCAAACACGGACCATCCTACTGGTTCAAATCCTTTTCGGTGATGCAATGTGTCGTTGACTAGGTCGACCACATGAGAACCTGGGATTGGTTTGTTTTCATACAACAGCTCTCCTTTATCATTCCAGTGCAACACATCCTGGTGTTTTTTAATTTTATCCAACAACTGTCTAGCCCCAGCTTTGTAAATTTTGGGTATACTTTTCATGACCTCTTCCTCTACTGCTGTTGGAAGAGAATTATCTGGAGAAGCTTCATCCCGGTATTGGGCAATGACGACATACACGCTTACCCATGATGTTCACGGTACGAAGGTTCGATACCAACTGAGTAAAACTGCTAATGACACGAAGTTTATGACTATTGAGAACGGGCCACAGGGGCCACAAGGGCCTTGTATATCACTGTTTTTCTTTAACGCGGGTGATTGAATCGCGCGTGGCGCACACACGCGCGCGCGGCTAGACAGACAACAAACCGTGTTTAGTATATTAAACCATATTTATTTACAAACTATGAACAAATGACATTTTTTTACACCTAAAGGAAAACTCTTTATATACAATGCGATACAGAGAAAAGTCGACCCGAAGCAAAGACAGAGAAAGCCCCATCTTGACAAAGACAGAGACAAACACACACCGACTCAAAATTTTAGTCATCATGAAGAAATTTCATTACTTTTAGAAACAAAGCTTATTTTGAATGTCATTAATTATCATGTCAAGGTCCACTGGTGTTCTTCTTTTCTCACGACTCTATCAAGGCATTCTATTGTTTCTTGTTGATCACTGAAATCTTTCCATTTGAGCCCATTTGGTCGGTAGTATAGAGCGTATAAAATACGGCTTTGAAGATCATCACCCTGCTGGACAACATCAAGTTCCAGAGAAGCGAGGTAAATACTGGTCCACGACAATATTTGGCAGTACTCTTCCCATGATTTATCTAGTTTGAAGCCGAGAGCACTGCATATACTTTCGGTAGCGTTCAACATAGAATTCAGGTCAATTTTTTCCACCACTTCATCGTGGTAATACTTCCATGCGTCATCATTATCCATCATGAGGCAAGAATGTTGGTTTTGACTTGGGTGTTGAATAGCACAACCGTCGCAGTGATTGAGCTTTTCTTGTTGGATGAGTTTGTCAACCAAAGCCGCATAAGTCAGTTAGAATACATGTCCAATAAAACTGGCTATCCTTTGACGCTGGACAATGTTCCAAAGAATATTGTTGAGAGTTAAGACTTTTTTCCGAGCAAACTGAACTTTAAAGAATGAAATCATGATTGAACGGAGAGCGCGTTTGTCTGTTGAACACATAATAGATTGTTCACTATCCAATCAGGGTTAAAAGAGCCCTCTTCTTCTGAATCGTCTTGTTGTTTTTGCCACAGGTATTTCATAGGTTTGTCGATAGACAGAGAATTACAATTTTGGAAAGAAATACATGTTCTAGATGATTGTGAAACAACATTCCTTGACTTTTTTCGAAGTGGGAACTCAATGTCTTAATCGCTCATTTTTAAAAAAAGACAAAAGCTAAACGGCTAGTTCTTAATTGCATTTTTTTTACACAATACCTGGTCTTTAGTTGAAGATTTTTGCATAATCAACCCGCGGCGTGTTTGTCCAAAGACAAGTATGGCTGAGAAATAATTCTCTTATGGTGGTCCGTTTTCCAACAAACTACAGCTACAACGGATTGCATTTCAAAAAGTATGGTGTGAGGAAATGACGGAGGAACAGATTATGAACCCCACGTTGATCAGCAGAACTGTCATTATTGGTGTACGTAATATCTACGATTATCCTGATGCCTTATTGGCAATGAACGATTTGTTCAAGCGAAGATTACAACAAAATGTGTTATTTGTATCATCTGAAAAAGGACCTACCTACGAACAAGACCTAACTTACAGAGACAATTTGGTAGACTACACATTACGTGATGATGTAACCATTAGCCATTTCTTTAGTCATTATTATTATTTCTTGTGTACAATGATATACTCTTTGAGGTGAATAAAATAATTGCGATGAAATACTGTGTTGTGTAAATTTCTTTGCCCCTGCAAAATCGGGTCCGTTTCTGGACCTTGTAAAATTCTTTGTACAGCATACCGTCGCGTGCAAACAACACTCGTTTATCTTGCTTTTTTTCCAATCGCCGTAGATGGCAAAACCATTGTTCGGTTAAGTTCTTGTTTACTTCAAAGAGGTCTTTCTACCTTTGTGTTGTTAAGGCAGCAAATCGTTCAATATTTGATGCGTTCATGGCAAAGGGAGCCATTTTCTTGCATAATAAAACATCTTTCAGGGGCACCCAACGAGAAGATAGTTCAAAACCACTTAAACATAGCATTGTTAAACGTATTTTAGTATTTAAACGGTAGATATAGGCATATTTTTATCCCCAGAAATTTTTTCATCTGTTCGGATTTCCTAGCTGAAAGTCTAGTGATCCGAAAATTATAGGGATCAAAAATTACCTTTTCGAAAATTGCAGCCACAAGAAGGGTTCACGAAAATTCTAGGTGACCTTTTACGAGTAAAAATCCGTTAGAAATGGGCAATTATACCATTTTTTAGATGTTCGAAAATCCTAGGAGAGGCAGGCAAGCAAGAAATTTTACAACAAATGTTCCGAAAATTCTAGATCGCAAATCGTCTTCCGAACACATATTTTCCGAAAATTGTCGTTGGGTGCCCCTGATCTTTTAGCGCGAAGTTGAATATGGCACGAAAATTATAACATGTGCTTTTGCTGACTATTACATGAAGGGGGTATTTCTAATGCTGCTCTGCGATTGGTTCAAAGTACTGAATACGAATGAGCTCCATTGTTCCCATTGTTCTCTAAATCTTAAACAAAAGAATACTGCTCTGTGATTGGTTACTATCCATATCAACCCCCTTAACTACTGGCAATTTAGCCCAAGAGTTAAATTAATATTAGCTGTTGTGTTTTGGAGGTTATCTTGGCCTTTCACTAATAGAAAATTTCGAAACATTTTCAGATAAAAGCAAGTTTTAAGGTCTTGCAATGTCTAAATAGTGTTTTTTTGAGAAGATGGGAACAGGTTTTTCTAGCCTGGAGATCCTTCAGGAGCCAGAATTCCGTAAAGATCAGCTGAAATTGCGAGATTTGAAATACCTTGGAACTTTTTGACGGTTAATATTAATCTGCATTTTTGGCCGTAAAAGTTTAAAACTTACCTTTTTCGACGGTTGACGGCCGGCCATTAAAACTCGTTGAGACCCTCAGTTAAGCGACTCTTAACCTCATTATGTGCGACTATATGTGTGTGTAATCTGCAGCAGATCCTCATCTGATTTCAGCTGCGTTATATATAACCAGTTTTTATGTCTCGAACATGATGCACATAATACCTTGCATTTATTACCAAGTGAGTGTGTGAGATTGGTGAGCATGGGTGCTGGGCTCACAACCCAACCACTCACAACATGCTAGATTTGGGATCAAATTGCAAATCGTTACAAGGACCAACTGTACTGAGGGGAGTTTCGGTAAACTACAGTGTACACTATAGCTAGAGCAGCTCTTAGAGCACTTCCACTGTCAGAACCGGCAAAGCATTATTTTGCATACAGCAAACTCCCCCCAGTTATAGGCCCAAAAATGCATTCAAATTTATGCCCTCCCAGATATATTAGCCCCCATCTAGCTTCTGTTCCAAATGCATTGAATTAATTTCTATTTATTGTGAAGCTTTAGAGGTCTTATATAGAAACTTATAAAAAAAAAAACAGAAATGCAAAACGTTTTTTGATCAGCACCGGCCGCTAGCTACAATAGAGAAGTTATAAGCCCTCTCGGATATAAGCTCCCTCGGATATAAGCCCCCTCAGATATAACCTCCCTTGGATATAAGCTCCCTCGGATATAAGCTCCCTCAGATATAAGCTCCCTCGGGTATAAGCTCCCTCGGATATAAGCTCCCTCGGATTTAGCACCACCGTTCTGAAACCCTTACGAAGACAAGCAAGCTCACGGCTGGCTTGTAAGGAACGGTCTACGGTAGGAGTTATTCATGCCCAAAATTCTTTTACCAAAGCTTATTGC